TTCCATAACATGCACCACCCTCTGCGTGAAAAAGTTGCCCCTTTGATCCCTTTTTCAATTTAAAACTAGCCACATAACTGCTCCCCTGCTGTGAGCTCCGCCACACAGGTTTCTCCAAGGTCACCTGTGAATTTAGCTTTTGTTTATTTTTCTCATATAAAACTCTGATGTCCATACGTACTTGAAACCAAACAGAAAAGGCAGCTGTGCAGGTTCATCGCTGGGTCAGGCAACTGTGTAGGCTTCTTTCTCTGTTTGAATGACTTCCCATGTGGTGACTACCTTTGTCTCCCTTCCCCCTTTATAAAGTACCGGTTTTTGATCTTTTATCCTAAAGTTCCAAAATGATGCAACAGCTTGTAAAACAGTAATTATAGCTCCTAGAATTCAAGGAAATCAGTTCCAACACTGAAAATACCTCAGAAAAGGAGCAGCTCCTACAGCCACAATTTTTTCCTGTCCTCCATCTTGGATCATCCAGAACCCTAGGATTTAGGAATTAATATGCAGCTAAATGTTGGCATTGGGACTTAGAAAATGTCCTGCAAGTTATGAGGGCTCAGGAGAAGTTGTATACCACTAATCATTCAATGCAGCTGAGAGTGAAAATTGTCAAGTTGCAAACTGTATTTGCTTGATGCAACTGAGCACCAATAGAGCTCAAAGAAAACTCCTGGATTGGTTACAGCTTGGTGTAACAGTTTTCGCTGAAAAGCAGGATTTGTACCTGCAAATAAATATTGCAGTGAAATTTTGGGAGTCCAGGGGTGCATAAAGCAAGGGAAGAAATATGACCAATCAGTGAATGAACAGCAAAACAGTTCCAAGTCAGGATGTTGAAGGGGAACTTGCAGTTGGTGGTGTTTCCATGTATCTGCTGCTCTTGTCCTTCTAGGTGGTAGAGGTTTTGGGTTTGGAAAGTGCTGTCAAAAGAGACTTGGTGAATTACTGCAATGCACTTTGTAGTCAGTACATATTTGTTGTTATTGTGCATCACTGGTGAAGGGAGTGAATGTTGAAGGTGTTGGATAAGATGCTTATGAAGTAGACTGCTTTGTCTTGTATGGTAGTAAGCTCCTTGAGTGTTGTTGGAACAGCACCTATCTAGGCAATGTGAATTACAGATTGTATAACTTCTAAAGCTATACAGCCCAAGTCTAATGGTGTTTGTTCTATACCGTTTTGAATCTTGTGGCAGTTATGTTACCGAGGTTAGAAGATTTGAGTTATAAGGAGAGGCTGGGTAGGCTGAGACTCTTTTCCCTGGAGCGTAGGAGGTTGAGGTTGAGGACCTTCTAGAGTTTATAAAATCATGAGGAGCATAGATAAGGTGAATTTTAGAGGTCTTTTTCCCAGGGGAGTCTAAACCTAGAGAGCATAGGTTTAAGATGAGTGGGGAAAGATTTAAAAGGGACCTGAGGGGCAACTTTTTCACACAGAATATTGTGAATATATAGAATCAGCTGCTAGAGAAACTGGTAGAGATGGGTACAATTACAACATTTAAAAACATTTAGACAGGTACATGGCTAGGAAAGATTTAGAGGGATATGGGCCAAATGCAGGCAAATGGAACTAGTTCGGTATAGGATACCTGGTCAGCAGAGGGGATTGGGCCAAAGGGCCTGTGTCCATGCTGCATGAGTCTATTACTCTACGTTTCTATGTCTTTATCTCTTAGTGAATCCTTTGGATCTCACACTTTGTCTACTTTAAAAAAAAATCCGGGTCCCTAGGCAGATTGTGACATAGACAGGAACAAAAACAAAGTTGCTGGAAATGCTGAGCAGGTCTGGCAGCATCTGTGAACTTCCTTCCTCAGAAGGGTCACCGGACCTGAAACGTTAACTGTGTTTTTTCCTTCACAGGTGCTGTTTCCAGCAACTTTGTTTTTGTTCCTGATTTACAGCATCCGCAGTTCTTTTGGTTTTTATGTGACATAGACAGGTTTGGTGGTTTGGTCTTCGATCATAGCAAGTTAAACTGGAAGTTAAAGTGAGAAGTTTGTCTGAAGAACAGACATTGTTGCATGATATTTAAGACATTATTTTAACGTGTTTTTATTTTCTGAGGAGCTTTTATAAGTTTGACAAATCACTCTTGGAAGTAATTATTCCTTCAGCAAGAGTGTATTTCTGTATCAACAACGTGGAGTGTAAATATAGTTGGTAAAAATGAAACAAGGAATATTAAACCAGAATCCTCTCTAATATAGCAGACAGCTGTATGTGAATGACAGTAGACCTTGAGTATTGGATTGACAGTCAAAACATTGTGCATTTTGCCTTTACTCTTGAATGATACCTGTATCCAATATGCAAGTGTTTAAAATGTTGAAGACAAGCCTTAAGTATTCATTAAAGAATAGTATCTCAGACACCATGTTATTAGTGATACAGAGTACTCTAAGGAATGAAAATCAACACCGTAATTAATGTGAAAAATTTCATTAAGTAGTCCCATAGCACAGTAAACTGCAAAAAACATTATTTTTATTTTAATACATGTAAAGTACCTGGAGGAGTATAAAGACAAGCAAAAGACATTTCAAATGTGTTTTGATAACCGAAGAAAACAATAATCAATTTAAAAATGATAACAGAATTATATTGTGATAGAATTTTTGTAAAATATTCTATCTTTATTGTCAAGACAATGGATCATAAGTCCCAGATCACCTACGGAAAGGTTGAACCAGAGTTTATATGATCATGGTCATCATTAGACTTTTAATTCCAGCCGTTTATTGTGCCATGATAGTTTTAAAACTTGAGTACCTAGAGCATTACCAGGGACTGGATTATTAGTCCAACAACATCATTACATCATCTCCTCCACCCCAAGTGTGATGGACTGTATGCTTTGTGGCCATCAAGTCTTCCCAGGGCAACCTGTGACTTTCTTTGACAGAAAAACCATCAATATACAACTGGTCTGTACTCACCTGTAATCTCAAAAGTTTCTGGTATTGCCTTTTCATAGCTAAACTTACCCATCATGTTGTCATGGCAAGTGGAATCACATTGAAAACTTTGATGGTCAGCTAGTTTTCTCCAGCAGCTTAAATAGACTTCATCTGCTCACATTGACTAACTTAGTTAAGTCAATATATACCAGTCTCCTTGGCACATGACATTTCTCTTACTGTGACTGAGAAGATCATGCATGTTGTAGATCTTCTCGTTCTGAAATTACTTTGGGATTTTGGTGGATGCGTTCAGTCAAGATCTGCAGTCTGATAAGAGTGACGCAGATAAATACATTTTTCACGATATTCAGCAAGCAAAGAGATACCTCGAGAGCTGCTGCAATCAATGTGGTCACCTTGTTCTTGTATAGGTCACAATCTTTTCATCATGTTTAACCTGGGGCAGTGTGTAACCTACCCCTTCCTGCAACAGAGGCAGAGGATTCCTCTGAGTATCATTTAGTATTAGATCCTTTAGTTTTGCCCATTATTGACCAGCTGCAAGTTATCTGTCAAACTCTTGCACATGATTCTGATAATTCAGCTTGCCACTCGATGATCTTTATTCTAATTTTCTTTTTCCTGATGTGATGCATCTTATCCGCATATTGAATAGAGACTCTAAATTCTAGCACCCTCTGAAGCAGATGGACTATGGTGTGTCAGCACTTTGTGCATCAAAGGCTCTCAGACTTGAGTTGGCTGACCATGGATACACTGGTCTTTCCAACAATAGGAGACAGCCTGTAGCACCATTATTTTTACCAGTCAAGTTGGGGCACATTACTTGTAACTACTGTCCTCTTCTTTTACGCACCACAGTGAAATTGAAGCATTCTCTAGGATACAAGCCTGGACAAAATTTGCAGGGACCCAGAGCTTTTCAAATGCAGTCCTGCTCTGAACCTACTTGGCTGTGTCCAAAGGAATGTAACACTGTTTGGTATTGGCTTAGTTGCAGGAGGTTGTGGAAACTTTACTTGTTTAGACATCAGTCTGTCTTTGGCCTCCACTCCGGAACCTTTTATCAGGTTTAGTCTCCTAGCCCTCAACTCTCGAGGTATCTCCAAGACAGTGGAACCAATCACCTTTGCTGGGAGTTTGGTTCGTGAGTGCCAGGGCTTGTCCAAATGCTTAAGGGCCTGCTCTTGTGGCTGGGACTTTGTCAGCAGTGTGCTGTTCCTGATTTCTTTATTGGAATTGCGAAACAATTCTTCTTTCTCTCTTTCTGTTTTCAATGTGATTATAATAAAAATTTTAAGTGTCAACAGTGTGTTAAAGTGCCTGCCTTGTAAACAGGAGACCCTGAGTTGAATCTCGTTGGTGCCTTACTTATTAGGCTTGTGTGGTGCAGGGGTGGTGTCTCTACACAAAGAGTATCCCACCCAAACCCAGACCCCCACCCTGCACATCCTTAGACATTATAGACAATTTAGCATAGCCACCTAACTTGCACAGCTTTGGACTATTGGAGGAAACCAAACAACTGGCAGAAACCCACTCAGACATGGGGAGAGGGTGTAAGTTCAACATAGACAGTCGCCAAAGGTGAGAATCGAACCTGGGTTCCTGGGGCTATGAAGCAGCAGTGATAACCGCTGACCAACTATGCTACTCTCTTCCTTCTGAAGTTTCAGGAATATGCTGAATCATGGTACTTTATCATTGTACATAAATGCACCCTGAATTCTAATGTAAGAATTTACAATTATGTATATTTTAGAAGTTAGCAGTTTTATTGCTTTCTCAGTAACTGATAATGAGGGTATCAATTTGCAGAACTATGAACTATCACTTTTTGTAAAAATAGTTAATGTTTGAAATTGAGGGAGGTGTTTGTAGTTTAGTTAAATCAGGAGACCTGCAATTTTACTGTTCTTTTGTACCATTCCTGGCAGTTTGTATAGGAGCTGTATTAGCATGAGAACAGGTGTCAAAACAGTGTGAAAGGTGTAATTATGCAATTTGTAAAAAGGGAATAATGTAAAACAACCTTGCCAGTTTTGTAACTGGAAAACTGTTTCCCTTGCAGCAAAAGCTAAAAGAGGAAAGAGAAGCTAAACGGGCTCAGTTGGATGGTAAACATGATTATATTTTGGAAGTTGTGGCTGCATGTCTTGGCCTGGAGAAAATTGAGGTGGAAGATGCCATTCTGGAAGGTTCCCAGGTAAACCTTTTTTTGACTTTAAAAAAATGTAATAAGAGGAATAGTGATCAAGACCGCTGTTTCAGGGGTTCAGTACAATTTCAGAAGTTTGACACAGTCTCGCTGCAGCCAGTGTTTCAAAGTATTTCACTTGTCACCAATGCATCAAACAGCCTGAATAATATATCACATAGTTGCCGTAAGATAATGCCATACACTACATTCAGAATGAAAGAGAAAAGATCTAACAATCAAATGTCCACCCAAAATCGACCGCGTGCCTATTTGCTAGCAACTCTCCAGAAAAGAGGAAATTAATTTTTAGGCAATTTTTAATATCGTTCATAGGTTTGGAAGTGGAAGAGAATGAGGAGCAATCAGGAGAGGTCAGGTGCAAATAGGAGCTGGCAGTAAGTCATGAGGAGCAATTGATTAAGGTGTAAGTTAGTCAGGCTATACTCCATTGAACACAGTTTGTAAAATAGACCCAAAGTCATCAAAGTTCAAACCCATAGTATTTGTGGTATAACACTTCTAGAAATTATGTTTAAGTTACAATACCTCCACTGAGGTGTTTTTCAGTAATATGTAGAGGTGCAGTAACCCAAAGCCAGCTGTCTAAAAACTGGAATTGTTGAAAAACCAGATATACTTTTCTGTGTGGATGTTGCTCAACAGTTAGTGTTTGGATAATTTAACCTATCTGTTTCTATTTTGCCACGTACGTCTCAATTATCAACTTCCAGCAACAGAATACGGGGATTAATAATGTGTCTTATCGTTATAACACTATCATTTAGTCTTTTTCATTCCATGACTTGAATTTTCAGTTTTGAAGTTAAAATGTAGCTCTGGCCGTCTTAGATGTGTCACTTCTATCAGTTGAGTTTATGGGGGTAATCCAGTGCTCAAAATACTTGGAGGTGGCAGGTGAAATCATCTGTGCAACTACCAAATCACCCTGGAAAAGTGGTCACTCCCATGATTCAATCAAAATAAGTAAATAAGTTATTGAAAACAAAACTTTTGTTGCTAACTTATAGTTTGTGTGTTGTGCCCAATTTAAATAGTATGTTGTCTAGGAAATTTAAGACTATCTTGTGTCGTGGATGTTAAGCTTATGGCAGTTTGATAATTGTTGAGGATATTGATAACTTCTGCTTCTGAGAATTGAAATCCCCTGTTTGTGTCAACGCAAATATGGAAATTAATATTGGTACCTGAACGCATCTCAGTTAATGAAGGATTTAATAAGAATGGAAAAGTAGCCCCTGAAGCTTAGAAAGCCGCCCTCAAGGAATGTTAAGAGGAGGTCTTGGTGAGGGAAGAAAATATGCATATATTTTTACTCTGGAGTGATCAACTGCTTATTTTGAATGCAAACTTATTGAATGGCAAGTTCAACACTGAATTACATGTGGCTGACAGTCTCGTCCCTGCTGACACCTTCAGGGTTTGAATGTTCTAGGATCACATTTTTCTTTTATTTATTCACGAGATGTAGGTGTTGGTGGCTCGGCCAGCATTTATTGTTCATCGCTGATTGCCAGCAGGCAGTTAAGAGTCTGGAGTCACATGTAGGTCAGACCAGGTAAGGATGGCAGATTTCATTCTCCAAAGGACATTAATGAGCTATGTGGGGTTTTTCTTACAATAATAAACCATGAGGCCAGCTCTTTATTCCAGAGTTTCTTTTATTGAATTCAAATTTCATCATCTGCCAGGATGGGATTTGAACCTATGGCCCCAGAACATTATCAATTAGAAAGAAAACAAAAAACAGTAGTGCTAAATGAAAGTCTTCTCAGCCAGTGTGGTATGTTGGATAGAGGTTGCACTGACCTTCCAGCCAACTGGTCAATAACAAAGAGAATGCTAAAAGAAACATGTTCATATAGGAGCAGATGTCTTGACGGCTGTGAGGGCATTCCTGTGCTACCTAGCCTCCTCAAGTTCAGTTCCTCAGAGGAGAATGCCTGCTTTTCCACCTCATTCTGATGCAAGACATCCCTAACCACCTCTGCCCTGACTCTGCCAAGTCCTGGAATTTCTTCTTTAACAGCACCTGCACCACACAAACTGCAGTGGTTGAAAGGGCAGCTCACCAGCACCTTTTCAAGGAAAATAGGATTGGGCAATAAATGCTGGCCTAGCCAGTGGCATCTACATTCTGTGAATAAATATAAAGCAAAAAATAACTCGTCTGGGGTGTGCTACATTGCACCACCTGACCGGCCTAAGCATCTGGATCGCATCTAACGAAGCCCTATGGTGTACTCTACAGTGGCCCCTGTGGAAGCATGTGCAGCATCTGCCTCTTCCCTTTGTTAGTGTATGGTTGCCTGATGGGTGGCATGAGGCAGGCTTTGAGGAGGTAGCCCTTGTCACTGAGTGACCATCCCTGTACACATGGAGTGGTGGGCTCGCTGAAAAATTTGGTACCTTTGAGTTTTCCTGAATATAGGTGCCATGACAGCTATTGGATAATACATTGTCATGCTTGCCAAATTTTTGTTATGACAAACAGCAATAAACTTGATCACAGAGCGGACACCTTTCACAACATTCAACTTGACTGCTGAAAGCACTGGCTTTGCAACATGCCACTGTTCATAAACTGCAGACGCAGTCTTCCAAACACATTGTGAGAGCTAATTGAGAAAGCAAATGCTTGCAAGTGTGCTCTCACCTGCTGCTGACAACATAGCCTATCCGTCTTGGGAACTGGAGTATCCTATCTCTTCTATCTGTTATTGATTTTTTTATTCGTAAAAGTTCATTTTTGTCAATCTTGTATCAAAAGTAAGATGAAAGAACACTATAATGCTTATAGTTGGACCTAGGGGAAAGTGTTTAAAAGAGTTCAGAGATGAACTAATCAAAGTTGTTATGTCCTTGACTGCTTTTATTTCTTGCTATAGCTTCACCGTGATGAAAATGTATGATTTAACAGGTCATCCAAAATCCAAGAAAATTCAAAGTCCAGCATGATCTTTGCCCTGATTTTGGGTATCAGACATGTAGTCTACCATTTTTGCTGTAGCTTCCATTGTAGATTTCATGCCTGGATTTTCATGCACTCCATGCAGGAGTGAAAATGGCAGCCAGGATCTGATTCTGCGATTCCCGTATCGTTCCTGGTGTTTCTCATTTACACCAGTGTGGTTTAGGTTGTGTTGTGCATATGCACCATTCGCTCCTGACCTGACTGGCTGTATTGCATTGATAGGCATATCCTAGTCCTCTGCAATTTTCATTGTTGTGTACAAGCCCTGTTAACAGTAACTGCATTCTAGGGCAGAAATCAAGGAAGAAATAATCGGAGCTTGTCAAAAGGGTGCAGCAATTATCATGGATTTTAACCTACACCTACATATAGATGAGAAAACCAGCTGGGAAAAAAAGTGTAGATGAGGAATTCATTGAATGTTTTGGGACAGTTTCTTAGACCAGCATGCTATGGCACCAGCCAGAGAGCAAGCTATACAAGACCTGATTTTGATCAACAAGGTAGGAGTAACAACTGACCTCCGAGTGAAAGCGCCCCAGATAGCAGTGATCTTAAACGTATAGTTTAAGGGAGAGAATAAATGTCCAAGACTATTACTTTTGAGTTTAAAAAGAGTAGTTATGAGGGCATGAAAGCAGAGCTATCAAAAGTCAATTGGCAATTCAGATTAAGGGTTAGGTCAGTAGAACTGCAGTAGCAAACATTTAAAAGGATATTCCGGAAAGTGCAGAATAGATGCATTCCAACAAATATGAAAAATTCTAAGGCTCAGGCCCACTATCGGTGGTTAACTAAAAGGTCAAAGACAGTATCAGACTCAAAAATAGGGAAATGGTCAGAAAATTAGGTAAAATATAAAAAAAACTGTAAACAATTCCAAAGATTAATAAGCAGGAAAAATTAGAGTATGAGAGAATATTACCCTAAATATAAAAGCAAATGGGAAAATTATTTTCAGATATTTAAAGAAGAAAAGATATGACAAAGTAAGTGTTGGTCCTATGGAAATGATTCTGGGACATCAGGAATAGAAGAAAGGAGTTGACAGGTGAATTGAATAGATATTTTGCATTGGTCTTTATTAAACAGTATATAAGTAACATACCAGAAATAGCTATAAATCAGGAATTGAAAGAGAGTGGGGATCACAAGACAATGACATCACAGAGAGGTAGTTCTGAGTAAATTCCCTCACCAGCTGAAGTTAATCTGATGGACTCTCCTTCTCAACATTGCCCCCCTACCAGAGGTATGATGACCCTCAAGTTAGACCACCACTAATCATCTCTCTTTAATGAAAGAACAGCCCTGTGGTCTGTTAGGACTATGGCAGCTTTATCTTTACCTTTACTGAGTAAATTATTGGAACTGCAAAATGACAAGAGCCGGTGTCCTGATAGAATTCATCCGAGGGTCTTAAAAGAAGTAGCCAGTGTGATAATTGATGTGTTGGTTTTAATATTCCTAAACATTAGATTCGGGGAAGGTTACTTTTGGAAAATAGCTAATGTAACTCTTTTATTCAACAAGAGAGGGAAGCAGAAAATAGGAAACTACAGACCAGTTAGCTTAACAATTGACATGAGCAAAATGTCAGAAGCTATTATTAACGACATTACAAAACAGCACTTGGATTAGTTTAAGATAATCAGGCAGACCCAACTTGGTTTTGTCAAAGGGAAATAATGCTTAACTAATTTATGTATGATTTAAACAGGTATTCCAAAATCTGAGAACATTCAAACTCCAGCATAGCCCAAGGCTACTAGTTTTTGGATATCAAATGTGAATTCTATCATTTTTGCTTCAGCTTTCATTGCAGATTTGCATGTCTGGATTTTCATGCACTCCATGCAGGAGTGAAAGTGACCATCAGGACACCTTGGTGTCCTATCTTTGAAGAAGTAACTTGTTCTGTGGATAAAGGAGAACCAGTTGATGTGTAGTACTTGGGTTCTGAATGTATTTGATAAGGTGCTGTATTGAAGTTATTGGTGAAAATAAAAGCTTGTGATGTTGAGGGTAACATGTCAGCATTGTAGAAGGTTGGCTGGCAAGTAGGAAGCAGAAACGAGGAATAAATAGACAGGCAGGTCTCACAAGTACTGTGTCACATGGGTCAGTGCTGGGGCTTGAACTCTACAATTATATAAATGATTTGTATAAAGGAACTGAAGGCATGGAGCTAAATTTCCTGATGACTCGAAGGTGAGTAGGAAAATTAATTGTGAAGAAGAGATAAGGAGTCTTCAAAGTGATATAGATAGATTAAGTGATTGGACAAAGATCTATTTAAATGCTGAGAGTTTGCTGAGTTCTGAGATACAGAGAGATCTGTGTGCCCTAATGTAGAAATTGCAAAAGCTACTATGCAGGTACAGAAGTTAATCAGAAAGCAAATAGAAGCTTACGTTTTATTGCAAATGAAATTGAATGCATGAGTGGAAAGGTTATGCTTTAGTTATATGGGGCATTGGTGAGCCTACATCTGGATTACTGTATACAGTACTCATCATCATACTTGCAGAGGGATGATAACGCATTAGAAGGGGTTCAGAAAAGGCTTACGAGACCACAACTTGGTTTGCCTTCTGTGGAAAGGCAGGCCGGTATCCTATGGAGTTTAAAATGGTCAGTGGTGTCTTAATTGAAACTTGCATGATCCTGATGGGACTTGACTGGGTGGATGTGGAAAGGATGTTTCCGCATATGTCAATCAGAACTGGAGGTCATGGTGTAAAAATAAGAAGCTGCCCATTGAAGTCAGAGATGAGGAAACATTTTACTTTGAGAGGGTTGTGAGTCTTTAGAATTCACTTCCTCAAAAGGCAGTGGATACAGAATCGCAAAATATTTTTAAGGTAGAGGCAGATAGATTCTTGAATGCCAAGGGGATAAAAGATTATCTGGAGTATGCAGGAATGTAGAGTTAAGGTTAAAATCAGACCAGCTATTATCTTATTGAGTGGCAGAGCAGGCTTGAAGGGCTGAATGGCCTATGCTTGTTCGTTGCCTGTAAGTTTATTGTGTCAGGCTAGCTTTTCAAAGCGACATGGTTCACTGCATCTTATCGGTGTTATGAACCATATTGTCCATGAGAGAACCTTCTGAAATGTAAGTGCAAAAGGTCTTGCACATTCTGTCCATGCCAAGCAATACTGTCACATGACGCTGTGGACCTTCATGCTTACCATGACATCTTATGCCCTTCACTCATCAATATTGCCCTTAATACCCCTCTGGTTAAGATATGATCCACTCCAACTACCCTAGTTCCTCCCAAGCTCTTTCACCCCTCGTGCCAAGATATGACCCTTCACCCACCCTGTAATCCTTGATGCCTCATGTCATTGCTATAGTACTTCTGTGTCCATTCATGGCCTATACACTGTATAGAACCACTTGAGTCCTAAAGTGAAAATAGAATGTGTGAAAGAATGCTTTTTGAAATTAGCTATATTCATTGAGAAGTTTTCGATTTTGTAGGAAGGCACCATTTACTATAGGCCAATGAAAGTTACAGTCATCCAAACCATTTAAAATATCGACAGCCAAAATTGTAAGTGCTTCAGACCTGTTCAAACTTGTGTAAATGGACATTGCAAAATTATGCATAAATTATAGACCTGTCAATCAATAGCATTTTTCTCTGGGCTCAGCTCCATTACCAGTCTAATGGATATCTGAGCTGTTGGCCAAAAATGAATTATGAGCTTGTGACTCATGAGTTAAATTAACTTAAGCACACTTGACTGACCACAAAATATTATTATGGGCTAAATTACAGCACTGATGCTGCCTCCTGCTGAGGACAGTAGAAAAATAAACATGGGGTGCTTTCTACAAAATGTGGATGATCTGCTCTGCCAAGGTATTACCCGAAATGCACATTACAAATGTGTCAGCTTTGGCTCAGTAGGTGCACTTTTTATCTTTACATCAGGCAGCCAAGGATCCAAGTCACAATTGCAGAAATTTGAGAATAGAATCTTGGTTGGCGTTTAGTGCCGTTTTGAAAGTGTAATGCACTGTTGGAGGTGAAGTCTTTTGGATGAGCTGTTCATCAATGGCCCCACCACAAGAAGAATCCCATAGCTCTGTTAAAGTAAGAGCTGGGAGTTTTCTCCCAATGTCCTGGCAAGTATTTAGTCCTCACTCAACATCACCAAAAGATTATCTAGTAATTTGTTCCATTGCTGTTTGTAGAATGTTTCCCTGTTTGGATTGATTGCCCTATTTTGCACAATGCTTTTCCAAATTCTTCATTTGTTTGCAAGCATTTCAGAACTTTGAGGCTGTGAAAGGCTATAAATATATGCAATTCTTTCTTTGTTTCTTGACAAATGTGAAGAGGAATTGTGTAATTTGCAGTGGTCAAAATCACTAATAGAATATATGCTATCTTCAATTTCCTTAAAGTGTTTTTGGTTTATGATGTTAATCTGATTGCCATTTTAGTAAAATTACATTTGATAATATTTACCTTAGAAAATATTCTTCCGCATTAATTTACAAGTTACAATTTTTGGCCTCTTTGCTTCTTTTAATGTTACAGATTGAACGTGTAGATTCATTTTTTGCTGCAGGAGGACTTCCTCATCTCATGTTTTATTATCAAGAAATAGAACCAACTGAAACAGGTAACAAAAACAAGTAAAAGATTAAGTGAACTACTCCTATCCCTGACAATGCTAACTGAGTGATTTAGAGTTAGAAATTAAGCATTTCTATATACTTTTGTATTTTTTTCAGTACTACTGATAACAAATCACATTATCATAAAAAGCTATTCAAGTAACAATGTTGTTCAGCTTTTGCCTAGTACTGAGATTTTGAAGTGTATTGTTGTGTTCAAGGAGACATCTTTGACATTGTACAGCTTTCGGATAGCTAGATGCAATTAGAGTACTTACTCAGTTCACTGATGGTGTCTAACATAATGGTTCATAAGAATTCTACATTGTTACCCATCTCAATGTGTGATGTCTTTGCCAAGGTACAGTTCCAACTGCATTGGTTAGCCCGTGATACTGTGTCTTTAGTGGTCATTATTTATGATACTAACATCAGCAGGATATTTGATCATTGAAGGCATCAGTACATTTGAACCCCATTCTGTATTTGTCCATAATCCATCTCTGTGTGAACACTGTATTAGTAGTGGCTAGAAGCAGCAACGTAGGTCAGTTTTCCAGAAATGATGAAGCCACCCACCATGACCCCTGCTGAAAAGAACTAACTGGAAATAAACAAGGGATTGTGATCTGTATGATTCAGTTTCTACTGAGATAAATTTGTTAAGCTATGGTGAGCTTTTAGTTGCTCAGAAATCATGATCGTAGTTGAGTTTTTAGAACCGAGAAGTGTTGTTTTTACACAGGCATCAAACTTTATTAAAATTTACAACTCCCTGTTGGCCTGCTTAGTATTATATCCCTTTCTCTTTAAATATCCTGTGGATTGGCAATATGCAACATTTATATAGTATTGTGTTTATTGTGCTGGGGTAGCAACCAGTATGGTGGCAATTCACATTTCACTTTGGTAAATTGTCAAATTAAATTAGCACTTGAAAATTAATCTTGATGATTGTTGGATTATATTGTCAAAGTGAAACTGTCAATTATGCTGGAGCACAATCTGGGTTTTGAATAAATAATTATATTTTTAAGTTGTTAAAACTATCCTTCTGTTAGAGATATTGGAAGGAAATCTGTACCATGATTGCTGTTATATTGGATAAAATTGTATTCAAGTCATTTTCATCCTAACATCTGGTCCATCCTGGCAAGTTACCATAAAATCCTGCTCATGATCATTAATCAGATTTGGCAGAATCCAAAAACCATCATATTTTAAAATTCACTCCATGGAAAGACCTGCCCATGCAGGATAATGTAACTGATATTCTGCACAATATGGATGAAATTTACCTTTGTTGATACCACAAAATTGTTGATTGTAAATTGATTGCCTGTTTGATTTGTATGCTGCTGAATTTTCATTAAGCTGAATTCCAAAATTGTTTCTCTATTTTTTTGTAAATAAATTACTTGTATCAAATAGATTTTGTACATTCTGACTGTTGTGCACTTGAAATTTGTCATGTACTATGTTACCGGCACAGTAGATTATTAATGGAGCATGAAAATATTTTTGAAAGGCACACATTACAATTGCAGTTTCAACCAGTATTCAGGCTGCCCTCATCTGGTAAACTAAATTTTAAAAAAGTTTATGGTATTGGAGTGTTTCCTCATAGGGAGAAAAATCACTCACGGTAGAGCCATATAACTGAAGCATATCTGTGTTGCTTTCCTTTCTTCTTCAGAATGAAATTCAATGTGGAGGAGCATGGATTCATCAGCTGAGAGAGGTTTATAGGTGGTAATCAGCAGGAAATATCCTTGCTAATAGGAGCAAATTACTGCAGATGTTGGAATCTGAACTGAAAACAAAAAATGCTGGAGATCACAGTGGGTCAGGCAGCATCTGTGGAGAGAAAGCAAGCTAACGTTTCGCGTCTAGATGACTCTTCATCTTAGCACCAATGGTAACTTAACTAGCTAAGTCCTGAAGAACATTTATTCTAGAGTGGGTCCATGGCAGGTAGTTAAAGAGAAGAGAGAAAATCGTCATTGACCCCACCCTTACCAGCCAACCCATCACCGATGTATCTGGTAGACGTAACCATTGTGGTGATGAAGAATCATCTAGATTCGAAATGTTAGCTTGCTTTCTCTCCATTGATTCTGCATGACCTGCTGTGATCGCCAGCATTTTTTGTTTTCAATATCCTTGCTGATGTTTGATCAGATGACATTAATGCTTCTGGAGCCCGGAGTCAATATTAAGGATTCCCAGAGTCACTCCCTCCTGAATGTACATCACTGTACATGTACTAATAATTTTAAATATATATTAATATTGGTAGATAGAAGATTTTATGATTGGAAGCATGATAAACAACCTCAAGTATGTCATTGACTCACCTCACCTCCTGCCCCACTGCATCACCTTTTCCGAGCTACAGTCAGCTCTGTAGAAGGTTCACTGGACCCGAAACGTTAACTGCTTTCTTTTCACAGATCCCGCAAGACATGCTGAGTTTCTGCAGCAACTTATGGTTTTGTTTCAGATTTGCAACATCTGCAGTTCTTTATTTTAGTGCAGTTGTGCTGTCTACTTAACATCGTTGCTGACAGTTTCACAATATTTATAGTTAACCTCATTTCAATCTGCACAGATGCCCAACAGTAGTAGCAGAACAATGATGTACAGTCAGGAGGGAGTGGCCCTGGGAGTCTTTAACACTGACACTGGACTCCATGAGCGCTCATGTCAGAAACAGTCAGCAAGGATACCTCCTCTTAATTATCACTTATACCCTCTTTTGACCGATGAATCAGTGCTTCTCCATGTCGAGTGTCATTCAGAAGAAGTACTGAGGGTAGCAAAGACATAGAAGAGAGGTTGGGATTTGGAATTTCAGTGCCTATCCCAAGAGTGGATCAGTAGCACAACTGCTGTTAACTAGCTAAGTCCTGAAGGACAGTCAGGGATGGGCAATAATTGCTGCTTCATCAGCGATGCCTTCATCCTGTGAATGAATAATGAATAAAGAAATATATATTCTAGAATGGGTCCATGGCAGGTGGTGAAAGAGAAGAGGGAAAATCTTTATTGACCTCACCCTTACCAGCCACCCATCATCAATGTATCTGGCCATGACTGTATTGGTAGAAGTGACCATTGTGGTGATGAAGTCTGGTCTTCACACTTAGGACACCCTCCATTATGCTGTGCAGCATCACCATTATGCTAAATGGGATAGATCTGGAATAGATCTACCTACACAAAGCTGATATTTATAAGGTATTGTGGGTCATCAGTTGTAGCAGGATTGTATTTTGCCACAAATTATAACGTAATGGTTTACATATCCCTTGTTCTAGCATAGCATCAATATCAGGGATTAATCTTAGTTTAATAAAGAGTGCAGGAGATCATTCTGTGAGGAACATCAGGCATGCTTAAAAATGAGGTGCCAAGCTGGTGAAGCTGTAACAAAAGGCTACATACATGCTAAAAAGTGAAAGCTGCATGTGATAGAACAAAGTAATCACACATTCAACTGATCAAATCAAAGTTCTGCATTCTTGCCAGTTATGTTTGTATATGGTAATGGACAACTAAACAACTAACTAGACAAGGAGGTTCCACAACATCCTGATCGCCAATGATTGGGGAGCCAAGCATGTATAAGACAAAGCTGCAATATTTCTAACCAATTTCAGCCAGAAGTGGTGAGTATGTGATCCATTGTAGCTACCTCATAAGAACCCCTGCATCAGAGATAACTGTTTTCAGCCAATTTGAATAGAATGATAGACTTCCAGCTGCTACTTCCGCCATGCAAATTGTATAGTTATTTTGATTCAGTCTATATGGTATGAAGAAGACTGAAGCCTTAGATGTAAAAGCTATGGGCCCTGACAATGTCCTGACTGTACTATTGAATACTGATGCTTCAGAACGAGCTGTACTTCTCATGAAAAGCTGTTCCAGTGCAACTACGGCAGTAGGACCTACCCAACAATATCAAAAATTTCCCAGATATGCCTGTGCACAAAAAAAAGGCAGACAAACTCCATCTGGCCAGTGACTGCTCTATTTGTTTACTCTCCAGACCTGAGCAACATTCAAGCTTGGGCTGGTAAATGACAAGGAACATCATTTCTCATAAGTGCCATGTGAATACCTATCTTCAACAAAGAGAATCTGGCTGACTTTCTTTAACCACTGCTGATTCCAAACACCACCCCCAACCATAATCATCATCGAGGAGGTTATCATTGACTGGAAACTGGCTACAGAAGGATGGGAATATTGCAGCGAGTAACTGACCTCCTGACTTTCCCAGAGCCTGTCTACAACACAAGGCAAAGTCAGGTTTGATGGAATACCTGCCATTTGCCTGGATGAATGCTACTCCAACAACACTGAAGAAGACATTTTTGGAACAAAGTAACTATTTGATTTTTCACCTTATTGACCATCTTAAACATTCACTCTGTCCATTACCATCACATTGTGGCTGCACTATGGCAGTGTGTGCCATTTGCAAAATACCCTGTAGCAACTTGCTAAGACTTGCCTTATCTACACCCTTTACTATGTGGAAAGACAAGGGCAGCAGATTCATATATACACCACTATTTGCAAAGTCCCATATAAGCCGCACACCATTATGTACCTGCTTATTCACTATCACTGGCCCATAAACCTGAAATCTCCTTCCTGCCCGGTATTGCATGAACAGCTGGATATGCTAATGAACCAGACACCAGGATATAAAACAACTAGGTGACAAGAAGCTGCTATATGTAGCTATCTGTAACTGAAATTTGTCATTTAAGGTGTTAATAAACCTATTTGACCTTTTCAAGTAACTTGCATCAAATAATTGCTTGCTAGAACTTTCATATTGCTGAAACTGAACCATATTTTGTCTAAGCATTTTGTCTTCTATATAAGATTTTATAAATAGCGATATCTTTATCTTTATATATCATATATCTTTATATATAAGATATATAAATGTAAAGAGAAAACAATATTCATACTGTCGAAGAGAGGA